TGGTGACAGTTTACGAAACTGTTCACACCTATAAATCATATGATTTTGATTACAATGAAGACAAATAAATTTAGAATTATTATTATTAGATTTAAAATTATTATTCGACAACACTGATGAAGTAGTAAGAGCTTGCTTCTCCGATAAAGAACGCGGTTTATAATTATTGTATATTGTTTGATTTTTTGTTATGGGTTTACGTTCCAGTACCACGGGACTGGAGTACGAATTAGAAAATGTGTGTTCGAGTACCTTAATTTGGTTGTTTACGAAACTCATTAATTCTGCGAATGACGGAAGTAATTTTTGATTATGACTATCTTCAAATAATTTTCTAGTGGTTGTATCTAATCCACTTAACGCTAAATGACAAATTAAATAATCACTTAAATTATCCACTTTTAACGCTTCGATTGCCTTCCATGAATTATCGAAGGTATCTATGAATGAACTTAGGTTTGCCGCAGAGTTCTTTCCTATCGGAATGAAGTTAATCATTTTATCTAAATACCTACCTACTAATATTCTGTGGTCTTGATACTTGTCTACTAAACATTGCCAGGCAAGTGGATAGTTATTGGCAGTGATAGGAAATTTCTTAATTATGTTAAGTGCTGGACCTTTTACACAAGATAACAAGTAATGAAATTTATCAATATTTTCAAAATTACGTTCATGAACCAATGATAAGAAAGTATCATGAAAGGTTGTCCAGTTTTCTAATTGGCTGTCAAACTCAAATAACTTTAGTTTGGGCAAAGACGGCCGAACCTGATCACAATGTTTATTCGTTGAGGTACTCTCTAACGTTCGATATTTCACTACTACTGATCTACAGGCAGAGTATAATGTATCAAATGAATCCAATTCCCTAGTAGAGTATTTAGTATCAGGATTTAACTGAATTTCGAGTTGTAATATTTCCATAATTGTCTCTTCAAAACGTGTTCTAACATTATCTAAATCCGAAAATTCAGCTAAATACAATTGAAAATTACTTTTAGTCACAGACAGTGACATATCATAAACCTTTTGTAATTTGGAATATAAATATTCCTTTCGAAAATTTAAAATCTTTTGTTTAGAATCCATTTCAGAATTGGTCGTCATTTGTTTTATTGATATTAACTACCTATATGAAAAAATTATATCGCCCAAATATAATATGCTTCCTTGCAACTAATTTCAGCTATTATTGAATGAAATGAGATGCTATAATTTTAGGAAAAACACAACAAATGTAAATAATATAATATATATAATTATCCGAATTACTGGATAAATGAATATTATAACTAATAGGATGTATTTCATCCGGTTCGATTGGGCCAAAAAATGTTGGATTACGAATCCTTATAAATTAATATATAAAAGAGAGAGTGGACTGTATTTATTGAAAAGAAAATAATTAATGGAAAAGGAAGTAAAAATACGATTTCGACCTGGAAGAACGTCTTCCACACTCCGAACACCCCAAAGTAAGCAATGTAACACCAAACTTACTCACCTTTGCTCAGGAACGTCCCGATGTGTAGTACTGTTTAGTGGCCACGCACTCTAGAGTGTATATTTTCATCAAAAAATTGTAATGTGTTAAATAATTACTTAATTATCTTGTTTTCTGTAGATAAAAATACGGAGCGTCCTTTTAATTCCAGTTCTTATTTTCAATTGTTTTTTTATTCTTTTTATAAAATTTAAGTGGCCACATGTTTTTATATGTGGCCAGTATTACCGAGCGCCCTTTGCTCCAGTAAGCAAGCCGGTGACACAACCTGCTTAGACTAAGGAGGTTCGGAATACGGAACAGTACCTTATAAGGAAATATTATAGAATAACCAAAATAACCACCTAATATGTACACCCTACCACATAAATATCTGCTGGTAAAACAACAATACATCAACACAGCGTATATTCATTTAAATTGATAACAAGTTTAGGAGATACTTAAAACTAAGTACAGTCACATGACTAAGTTATTATATACATCGACAGTTAGTATTCTTCACAGGTTTGTTACAAGGAAAACACTCATTGCTACGGGTAAAAACAATTTTACACAACAATCCCGCAATATAATAATTTATATTAAAACTACTTAATTATAATAAAACAAAACTTTCTGTATGATACATGCAAAGATATACAAACAACGTTATTATTATTAATAGTAATACCAATATTGATGATGTAAGTTCACATCGATACTGTCGAAAAATCTGATATTTTAAAAATATTAAAAGAAGGTAGTTTCATTATTACTCGCGTATAACCCCCACTCATACCTTCTCTGTATAAAAGGGAGGGATTTTGTAAGCCGCGGTTTCCCCTCCGATCGATCCCCCGTCCAATTCAAACGGGGACCGATGTTACGACGGCCTGAGCCGAGGTTCGAACCCCTAGCGGTGCCCTCAGACTAAAGTCGTATCCGTCAGGCGGGAGTTGGCCTTCAGCCGCTCCATAAGTCCTTCCTTGGTTTGGAGTGCCATCTGCACTCGCCCCATAACGTCCGGTGAAGCTGTAAAGGCCAGCTGCGGCCAACAGCATTAGAGTAGTCCGAAAAAAAAAGCCTCGGCATTCGGTGTTTGAGCACAGGATGTGCTGGTTGTATTTTAAATCCTAAAGTGAATTGTGTTAGGACATAGTTAAATGAATGCTATATAGTTGTTATCTAAATATATATAACTCAAAGGTGACTGACATAGTGATCTATCAACGCACAGGCCAAACCACTGGACGGATCGGGCTGAAATTTGGCATGCAGGTAGATTTTATGACGTAGGCATCCCCTAAGAAAGGATTTTGATAAATTCTACCCCCAAGGGTATAAAATAGGGGATGAAAGTTTGTATGAAACTTCGTCAATTTTAAACCGATCGGGCTGAGACTTTGCATGCATAAAGCTACTATGACGTAGGCTAAGAAAGACTTTGATAAATTCCACCTTTTACTAGTACTTAGAGCTAACATTTGTTCAAACCACATATCAATTATCTTTTATATTTTAACACAACTAGTTAGAACTCACTTCCTTCATTATTCCACACCGCTTTACGACCGATGGTCGCGGGTTCGATTCTTCGCACGGCACACACATTTGTATTCATGAGTATTGGGAGCAGCTAGTATAAAATATGTTTATTACATATTTGATGATTTTACACACGATGTGTAAATAATTTGGTACTTTGATTAACATACTTATTTGTTAGGGAAAAGAAAATGTTTGGTACCTTTACACAAACTAGAAATAATGTTATTAGTATATATGTAATATTAACAAATTTACATAAACCACTTTAACTGTATCCTCTCATAAAAACCATCGCTCCTAAGAATATCCTTCAATTCTTGTCCCTGACGGGTCTAAGTAGCGAACTCTGGAAAAGGGCGAGCACAATAGATCTATGTAGGTCGCAGTGCTACACGTCTAAAGCCTTGACAATAGCCCAAAATCTTCAATATAAAAACTAATAACTTTAGCATCATTAATTAAAAATTCATCTGATAAGGACTAGCAAGGGAGACTACAGTCCGGCTTGCGTTTCTGACAGGTCGGGATCGAATTACAAAATGAATAACTATTGACTTGGAAATGACCAAGATTCGTATTGTTTCATATCATATTATATATCGACGACCTCAAGCACACCGCTTTACTACCGATGGTCGCGGGTTCGATTCCTCGCACGGCACAAACATTTGTATTCATGAGTATGATTGTTTGTATCGGTCTGGGTGTTTTCTATACATAATATGTAAGTATTTACAAAAAAAAATATCTATGTATATGTATCAGTTATCTAGTACCCATAACACAAACTCTAGCTAGCTTAACTTGGGTCTAGATGGCTCTGTGTAAATTGTCCTGAGATTATTATTATTATTATATTATGTTTAATTTGAATATATAAAGTATATATACATGTGGATATGTTATACATGGTGTGTATTTTTTCGGACTAGTCTAATGCTGTTTGCTGCAGCTGGCCTTGGCAGTTGCACTGGACGATAGGCGAGTGTAGACGTCACGTTAAACATGCAGAAGGATATATGAAGCGGTTGAAAGTCAACTCCCGCCTGACGAATACGACTTTATACTAAGGGCACCGGTAGGAGTTTAAATCTTGGCTCAGGTTGTTGAAATTAGATTCCTGTTTGAATTGGATGGGGGTTTGATCGGAGAGTGGTTTGGCAGGTGGAAAGTACCGGGTGATGGTGGTGTTGGTATTGGCGGAGTGAGTTGAGAGCCGCTACGTGTCGGACGAAGTTAGGTTGGCATAGTATGGCAGGTGGAAACTACTATGCGATGGTGATGTGGGAGCAGTGAGCCGAGCGCTGTTAGGCCAGGCTGCCACGTGTCGGGCGGAGTTAGGGCCGCACGGTATGGTGGAAAGTACTGGGTGATGGTGGTGTGGGTTACTGCCGTAATCAGCCGAGCACACCGGGATCAGCCCGCCACTATCTAGTGGAGTTAGGGCGGTTTGGTATGGTATGTGGAAAGTACCGGGCGATGGTGATATGGGAGAAGTAGGTTGAGCGTCGTCACATCGACACCACCCGCCACGTATCCGGTGGAGTTAAGACGGCATGGTACGGTGGAAAGTACCTGGCGATGGTAATGTGGGAGGAGTGAGCTAAGCGCCGATAGACCGACGTCAGATCGCCACGTGTCGGGTGGAGTTAGGGCGGTACGGTAACGCAGGTTAAAAGTACTGGGCGATGGTGATCTGAGTACGGGCTAAGCGGAACGCCCGCTACGTGTCGGGTGGAGTCAGGGCGGCACAGTACAGCAGGTGGAAAGTACCGGACGTCGGTGCGGGTTACCGGTGTGATCAGCCGAGCGCCGCCACGTGTGGGGCGGAGTCAGGGCGGTAGAGGGAGCGCGGGCGCGCGCGGGTGCAGCGCGAGCGCGGCGGCGGCGGCGTCGGCGGCGGCGGCGGGCTCCCCGAGCGCGGCCAGCACCAGCGCCAGGCGCCGCCACGTGTGGGGCGGAGTCAGGGCGGTAGAGGGAGCGCGGGCGCGCGCGGGTGCAGCGCGAGCGCGGCGGCGGCGGCGTCGGCGGCGGCGGCGGGCTCCCCGAGCGCGGCCAGCACCAGCGCCAGGCGCCGCCAGGTGTCGGCCCGCGCGGGCTCCAGCGCCGCCGCCTCCCGCAGCGCCTTCTCGGCCAGCCGCAGCCAGCCCAGCGCGTAGTACGCCGCGCCTGCGCATACCCTCACCTCGTACCGCGCTCGCTCGCTCGTGGCCCGCGAGCCGACGACTAATCGAGAACACCTAACTCTACACCTAACTCAATCGTATAAAAAGTTTCGGACCGGAAACCTAGGCCAGCGAAAGTCGGTTGCGATTACAAGAATGAATTGGAAAGCAGCACCGTCGCAAATATATAAAAATATTTAGTCATTTCCGGCCGATTCAAATTACTATCAAATAATAATTAAACTCATATATTGAGGATAAAAAATATTCAGCTTGCTATAGCGTAATGGATTATACTTAATCTAATAACACGATCATGTAAAAAAAAAAGAAATGAATTTCTCTCACATTAAAATCTGTCAGTAACTAATACAAGTTATGTTGAATAAACAAAACTGTTCTACAGGTTATAAGAATCTACTGGTGCAACCCTCGTAATTGTACGTACGAAGATATAGCAATGTGACGCGTATAATACTTACCGAGCTGCACGATGCTGTCGAGGTGCGTGGGATGCAGCGCGAGCGCGTCCTGGAAGCTCTGCCGGGCGGCGCCCCACGCGCCGTCCGCCGCCTGCACCAGCCCGCGCTGCGGGACACGACGCCACACGTTAGTTCGCAACCACGCTCGCTCACACCAACACGAACGCGCGCACGCACGCACGCACCCACGCACGCACGCACGCACGCATACAGAGAACAGACTCGTAAAATAGTATCTCTGAATATATGGTACTTACCGTGTAGAGCACGAGATGGCTGTGCGGCGCGAGCGCTGCAGCCTCCGCCACGCAGCCCGACGCCGCACTCACGCGGTCCAGCCTGCAACAAGCGGCCAGTTACACACTACACTATTACGGGATGAAACACTTTAAAAACCCAAAGGCCTGAGTGGTCCAGAGTGCATTAGTGCCCATTAGTGCCATAATGCAAGCTTTGTTTAGATGGATGAAAATGACTTTGTGTAAATTATTCTAGATTATTATTATTACCATTATCTCCACACTGACCTCAAACATTATCATATGCATTACTTCGTGAAGAAAGTGTCCGGTCGTTACTTCAATTCCACCAAATCTTAGTCCCACTGAAATCAGCACGGTCACTGTGCATTTAGATTCTAACGATCCTCGTAAGTAAACTTCTCCTGATTTCTTAATAACACACGACACTGTCCTCGCCGGCGAAAACGATGACCCCGGCCACGCCGCACCGTACCTGAGACAGAGGTCTGCGAGCAGCAGCCAGGCGTGTGCGCGGCGGGGCGCGCGGGGCGCGGGGCGCGGGGCGGACGCTGATGACGCGGCGTCCGACAGCGCGCGCTCGGCCCGCACCACGCCCGCAGACGACGCCCGCAGCGACGCTGCACACAACACCGACCGTGACCATATCGGGAAAACAAGTAGAAGACGACAGATTGGCATTAGGGGGAAAGAACACTGTTAGTAATATGGATGATCTTATTGCTAGCAGTGTACCAAATCAGGTTGCCATGGAAACCATCGTGATAAATTCTTGATGAATTTGCCACGATGGACTAACTGACCTGACCTCGTGCTCATCTTATCATCATCCACTGGTACCCCGCCAGCGTAAACCGTTAGCGCAGACGGATGTACGATTCCTCATTGGCATTGATAAAAAAAAGACAGTTTAACATTAGATTTCTGTATGTGTATAGGTGATACCACTATATTCACGAGAATACCGAAATTTAATAATACAGCCAGCATGAAGAAAGAGCTAAGGACCTATATGTAAACCTTGTGGAACGCCTAATAATAATTCTATATTCGAAATCGGAAAAAAATTAAAATTTTTATCCTCTTGAAAATATGATATAACTTAATATGATACCATTATATTCATGACAACACCGAAATGTAATAATCCAGCCTAATAGACTCTCGACTTCATAATTGAATAATAAATTAATATTATAGTCATACCGGCATCTCTTGTACTGTGCGTGTCGTCGTGTATATCGTCAGATAGCGCGTCCAGCTCCGTGTATCCGTTCTGTTCTAAGTCAGTCTCTTCGAAGTTGTTCAGTAATGTTAATAATTCCTTTCCTGTCGCTAGAGCAGCCTGTAATACCAAATACGAGCAACTTCGTTTAACAACTGATAGATTTGGAGGTATTTGGGAGGCAGATATACAATCTACAAAATAACGGCATGCACAAAGAGATTCAGAGGACGTATAGTGACTGTACAACCCAACACTAAACATTGGACTACCACAACGTCCTCTGGTGATAAATAAATAAAACAACCAGTTATATTGGATTGTAGAACTAAAAAGGGGTTTATTTCTAGAAATCACATTTCTACACATATATTTAACAAAACGGATCAATATCGTCGTCTACTTTTAATACAGCGCCATCTAGATAATCCCGCAGTTGTAGAACGTATAGGATTTAATATTCCACCGAATTACATGAGAAATGTCACCGGTCGTCGTGTCTGACTGTTTGCAATTGCAGCGGTACGTACAAACCACAATAATAATTGCCCACTATGCGTGCAATGCAATTATTAAATTTATTTTTAGGTAAGGTTCAAGATGCTGATGTATATACAGAAGCCGCGTCTTTCATAATAAATAAAATAAGATTATTTTTCTCATTATATACTTTAAGTATAATATGTAGTAAATTATTAAATAAGTTTATATTGTGTTAATTAAATTAAAAAAAAAAAGCAGTATGTAGTTTGTGTACCAAAAGATCTATGTAAACTAACAAACTTATACGTTGACAATAGATCGCGGTCGGGCACGTACCTCGCCGCTCTCCCAGACGAGCTGCAGCGCGGCCAGCGCCCACAGCGGCCACTCGGCGGAGGGGTGGTGCAGCCGCGCCAGCCGCGCCGCCTGCAGCGCCCGCGCCCCCCGCCGCCCCGCGCACGCCCGCGCCCACAGCGCCGCCGCCAGCCGCAGCGCGCCGCCGCACTCCGCCCGCGCCGCCAGGCACGCGCGCGTCGCGTCCTGCACACACACACACACACACACACACAGTCGCATCACACACAGCGCCCGCGCCCCCCGCCGCCCCGCGCACGCCCGCGCCCACAGCGCCGCCGCCAGCCGCAGCGCGCCGCCGCACTCCGCCCGCGCCGCCAGGCACGCGCGCGTCGCGTCCTGCACACACACACACACACACACAGTCGCATCACACACAGCGCCCGCGCCCCCCGCCGCCCCGCGCACGCCCGCGCCCACAGCGCCGCCGCCAGCCGCAGCGCGCCGCCGCACTCCGCCCGCGCCGCCAGGCACGCGCGCGTCGCGTCCTGCACACACACACACACACACACAGTCGCATCACACACAGCGCCCGCGCCCCCCGCCGCCCCGCGCACGCCCGCGCCCACAGCGCCGCCGCCAGCCGCAGCGCGCCGCCGCACTCCGCCCGCGCCGCCAGGCACGCGCGCGTCGCGTCCTGCACACACACACACACACACACACAGTCGCATCACACACAGCGCCCGCGCCCCCCGCCGCCCCGCGCACGCCCGCGCCCACAGCGCCGCCGCCAGCCGCAGCGCGCCGCCGCACTCCGCCCGCGCCGCCAGGCACGCGCGCGTCGCGTCCTGCACACACACACACACACACACACAGTCGCATCACACACAGCGCCCGCGCCCCCCGCCGCCCCGCGCACGCCCGCGCCCACAGCGCCGCCGCCAGCCGCGCGCGTCGCGTCCTGCACACACACACACACACACACAGTCCTCGCGTGCCGCCCGCTGGTGCCCGCTCCACCCTGCACACACACACACACACACACAGTGCACGCGTGCTGCCCGCGCAGCCGCTCCACCTGCACACAGCGCCGCCGCCAGCCGCAGCGCGCCGCCGCACTCCGCCCGCGCCGCCAGGCACGCGCGCGTCGCGTCCTGCACACACACACACACACACACACACACACAGTCGCATCACACACAGCGCCCGCGCCCCCCGCCGCCCCGCGCACGCCCGCGCCCACAGCGCCGCCGCCAGCACACACACACACACACACACACAGTCCGCAGCGCGCCGCCGAACTCCGCCCGAGCCGCCAGGCACGCGCGCGACTCGTCCGGCACACACACACACACACACACACACACACAGTCGCATCACACACAGCGCCCGCGCCCCCCGCCGCCCCGCGCACGCCCGCGCCCACAGCGCCGCCGCCAGCCGCAGCGCGCCGCCGCGCGCGTCGCGTCCTGCACACACACACACACACACACAGTCCGCCCGCGCCGCCGCGCGCCGCCGCAGGCGCCGCGCGCGCGCGTCGCGTCCTGCACACACACACACACACACACAGTCGCACACACACAGCGCCCGCGCCCCGCGCCGCCCCGCGCACACACACACACACACACAGTCGCCCGCGCCCACAGCGCCGCCGCCAGCCGCAGCGCGCCGCCGCACTCCGCCCGCGCCGCCAGGCACGCGCGCGTCGCGTCCTGCACACACACACACACACACACAGTCGCATCACACACAGCGCCCGCGCCCCCCGCCGCCCCGCGCACGCCCGCGCCCACAGCGCCGCCGCCAGACACACACACACACACACATTTGTATCACACATAGCAGGACCCCTACACACATTCATTCATTCATACACCCTTCATGTTCCGCTGCTAGTTGCTGCGGAAGATGAAGGAAGAGCAAAGGACCTATATGTATACCTAGTGAAACGCCTAATAATTATTCTATATTCGAAATCTGAAAAATATTAAATTTAGTAACCTCTTAAAAATATTATAATTACTTAAAGAGGTTACTTAACCTCCTAAAACTACGATAAAATAATTGAAATTAAAACTTTATTGAAGAAATTTTTCATGATGAACAATATCAAATGCTTTAGTAAAATCGATCTTACCATGGCATCGTTGAGCATGCCGAGATACATGTACTGTAGCGCGAGGTAGTAAAATGCTAAGTGGTCATTGTCATCTAGTTGTACCGCCCGCTGCAGAAGCTTCAGACTCGTCGTATTAGCGGCTTCTTTCTCGATGCGGCAATTTGTTTTCTGTTAATCACAACACCTACATTTTTTTAACAATACACTGGAATTTTCTTTTTATATTACTTTCAATATAATTTGGATGAAATACAGAAAAAGTCTCAACGCAAAGATTAATACCTGAGCCTTCATTTGGTGTCCGATGCCGCAGTATAAACAGCAGCGCGCCAGCATTGGCCCCTCCTGTTCTTCTTCTATCGCTAATGCCGCTTCTGCCAGCTCTATCCCGTCTTCTATCTACAACAATACAGCGATTATAGCTAAGATCACCAACAAGTTAGTTTGAAAAATCTATAAATGTGTATCTATCATCACGAATCATCAACAAGGCAAAATCCTCTTTTATATGATACCCTAGTCATCGAACTATAAACAAAATTTATTTCCTTAGCGAGCTAGCGACAATTTTAATAAATAGAACAGAATTCAAAACTGCATAGCACAGAGTCTCTGCTATTCTGATGTAGCATTTATCAGTAAAGTATTATAATAAAATATCAACGAAAGCATTAAATTACTCTACGAAGAAAATACACAAGTTTACTCTTTCTAAAATTAATAAAACTCTTCTTGAAACTATCAGATAGAAAACCGTTAGCAATCAGATTCATCGTCGAACTGCTGTAGCTGAAGCAGGCTGCCACGATGTAACTGTAATTCGACTAGCGCATTCGGTAAGAGGTCGCGTCGGCCGGCGGACCACTGCCAGCGCAGAGAACGAGAGAACGTACTCACCCAGCCCATGTGGTAGCAGGTGTCGGCGGCCACGAGCCGCAGCGGCGCGTCGGCCGGCACGAGCGGCGCCGCGCGGCGGACCACTGCCAGCGCAGAGAACGAGAGAACGTACTCACCCAGCCCATGTGGTAGCAGGTGTCGGCGGCCACGAGCCGCAGCGGCGCGTCGGCCGGCACGAGCGGCGCCGCGCGGCGGACCAACCACCCAGCCCATGCCAGCGCAGAGAACGAGCCCAGAACGGTGTCGGCGGCCACGACTCACCCAGCCCATGTGGTAGCAGGTGTGGGCGGCCACGAGCCGCAGCGGCGCGTCGGCTGGTAGCAGGTGTCGGCGGCCACGAGCCGCAGCGGCGCGTCGGCCGGCACGAGCGGCGCCGCGCGGCGGACCACTGCCAGCGCGCGTACTGCCGCCGCCCATGCAGCGCCACCTACCACCATAAAAATAATAATAGTTGACATCTTGTAATGACCAATTTGACGACCTCGTTGTTCCAGTGGTTTAGCATACCACTTCCGATGATAAATACCATCATCATCTCAGCCCGGAAGACGTCCATCATCATCATTATCATTATCGCCCAGAAAACTTCCACTACTAGACATAGGCCTCCCCCAAAGATCTCCACGACGATCGGTTCTGCGCTGCTCGCATCCAATGCCTTCCACCGATCTTGACCATATCGTCGGTCCACCTTGCTGGAGGCCTTCCCATGCTGCGTCTTCCGGTCCGCGGTCGCCACTCGAGGACTTTCTTGCCCCAACGGCCACTTGTCCTAAGAGCTATGTACCCTGCCCATAGACCACCGAGGCCGTCAAAGTGACGTGAAGTGTAGTGATAGGTTACCGGGCGCGTGCGGGGAGTGCGGCGCGGCGGCGGGGTGCGCGGGGGCGGCGGGCGCGGCGGGGGCGGGGGGCGCGGGCGCGGCGGCGGCGGTGGCCAGCGCGCGCTGCCGCCACACGTGCGCGCATCCGAACGAGAACTTCATTGCACGCTCCAGCGACTGCAACAATTATAATAAGCATTTTTATAGGCTGCAGATATACATTCGGTTTTTTGCCGTCAATCCGAATAATAAGATAAGATAAGCATTTATTGTCTATAACTGTGTTACATCATAAGCTGCAGGTATACAGTCGGTTTGTCATCGTTGGGTAGCACGAATGCGACTAATAGGCTGCAGATATACAGTCGAGTTGTCGTCGTTGGGTATCACGAAAGCGACTAATAGGATGCAGATATACAGTCAATTTGTCGTCGTTAGGTAGCACAAAAGCGACTAATTTGGTGCAAATATATAGTACAGTCGGTTTGTCGAAGTAATGTCACATGAACATGACTAATAGACTAGATATACAGTCGATTTATCGTCGCCAGATTACTCAAATGTAACTAATAGGCTACAGATTATACATCTGTAGTCTATTAGTTTGGGGCGACCACAAACTAATAGGCTACAGATATATAAAAGGAACGTGACTAATAGGGTACAAATGTACAGTCAATTTGTCGTCGTCAGGTCGTCCGAAGGCAAATAATAAAGTGCGGAAAACTGTGATCTACGCAATTCAGTCGCTGAATATACATTCCACTCATATGCAGCTACTCATTGTAGCGAATATTAGATAACACAGAAACATTAATAAATTATTTAGCATACATTAAAAATTATTATTGGCTACTGCGTCGGACTCGCAACTCTCATAAAATTACTACAAAATACACATACTTATAATTAACAAGTAGTCTTTATAGTATAAACCTAACAATTACTTCACCCCATTCTCTATGGAGATAACTTGGTTAAAACATATATTGAAGAAGATGAGAAGAGCAGGTGAAATAAAAATGTTAGAATCGTATGGTTCGTATAAAGTAATAGCGTCAAAACAGCATAACTGAAATCAAGTCAAATCAGCATTTGTTTCTGTAACCATAAAATCTAATCATTTATTAATCCAAATTAGATGAATGTTACGTGTAAAATGAAGCAATGATACAAAAATAAAATACGCTCACCTCTAGCACGAGACAGAGCTGCCCCCAGCGCGTGGCGGCGACCGCGAGGAGGTCGACGAGGGCGACGGCGGCGCGCAGCGCGTGCGCGCGCGCCGCCTCGAACTCCGCGCTCTGCGACAACACCGCGCCGCGCACCGCCATCGCCTCGCCCACCAGCAGCACCAGCACCACCTCCTCGTACGCGTTGCTCGGCACGAACTGCAACCCACGCCGCGCACTCATACCTCCATCCACCTCTACACTTCCCCCGACTGTTTCATTATTTCTACAAATATCTACACTTCCCCCGAATTTTCATTATTTCTATTCATTTTCATTATTTTATCGATATTTATATCGATAGTTTCATTATTTCTACAATTAGTGTAGATAACAGTTCCCCCGACAGTTCATTATTTCTACAATTAGTGCAAATAACACTTCCCCCGACAGTTCATTATTTCTACAATTATCTACACGTCCCCCTACAGTTTCATTATTTCTACAATTATCTACACTTCCCCCGACAATTTCATTATTTCTACAATTATTTACACGTCCCCCGACAGTTTCATTATTTCTACAAATTCATGACTATGATTGTTTGTATCGGTACACCCGCCTGCGCTGACGGTTTACGCTGACGGGGCACCAGTGGAAGATGTTAAGATGAGCATAAGGTCAGGTCAGTTAGCACATCCAGTCGGAATCGCGTGGAGGTTAACCTGACAAATTGTTGTACACGGCAATGCGCGAGCTGGCATTGCGTGCGGTTTTTCTCGTTCTCTTTGTATACATTCAAATACAAACTCTTTCTTTCGTGAAAGCCAATTTACCCCTAAAAGAGCGTACGTATAAGGGGAGCTATTTAAAATTACCATGTTTGTATTATAGAAAGTATTTAAGCTAACCTGGTTTATGCTGGCATACTTCTTCGGTTTCCACGGCCCCTCGGAGACGTGCTCCTCCTTCCGCCTGGATAACGTCCCTGGCTGCGGTGTCGGTACCTTTTCTGGTGGCTTGTATACCTAAAAGATAAGATTGGTTGCTAATTTCCCCATTTTCATTATTTCTACAATTATCTACACTTCCCCCGACATTACACAGGGGACAAACGAGCATGCGGCTCACCTGATGGTAGGTGATTACTGCCGCCCATGAGCACCCGCAACACAAGGGGAGTTGCCGGCCTAACTAAGTATAGAGTGGTGGTACCTGTCCGGTGCCTCCCCTCATGAGGACCTCAGCGAGCTGCCGCGCCAGCGACAGCCGCAGCCCCTGCGTGGCGGGGGACTCCACCGCCGTCAGCATCTCGCGGTACCTGCGCACACACCACATTGATCAGTGACAGATCTACGATATTGCGCGCTTACCCAGAAGTAATCTATCCACCATAGGCGTGAAGAATCGGTAGGTGTTTTCTCTGGGAACATAAAACTGGAGGTGTGTTCCACTCTCAGTATCCGGCTCAAAGGATCATAAAGATGTATAAGTGATGCTGTGACCCACACAATCTGGTTGCTATGATGATAAGCTTTCCAACTTGGTTTATTGAGTACACGTTGCTTCAGTGTGGACTGATACTTGCTTGTGAGTATTTGGGTGTACTGAAGGAAATATGATATGTGTGGGCGTTATATGGACGCAGAGCGGAGATGCTAACGGTTGTACGCTTTGGCAGTGCGTATTAGAAATGACAACGCGAACCGCTCAGTGCGAATATGAAATTACCACGAAAATGACTCTATTGGAGCAGGCTTGAATTTACCGAACATTACTAGTCTCTGACCCCTTGTCAGATGTGTGGGTGGGACTTTGTATAATTGTCTAGTGTGTGTGTGTGCGGGACCTGTGCACGGCGTCCTGCAGTCGCCCGGCGCGCACGTGCAGCAGCGGCGCGCGCTGCATCGCTGCATCCAGCGGCGGCGACGCGGCCGACGCGCGCTGCAGGTACAGCAGCGTCAACTCCGACGACACCTCGAAGCTGCGCACCTGCGCACGCACACGGTTACTGCACACCTACCATACGTATTATCTGAGCGCTGTTTACTGGAATTATTACCCGGGTCTTAACACGAATAATTTAATAAATTACAAGTAACGTTTCGACTAGGTTGCTGTAGCCGTGGTCACGAGTCGACTGGAGCAGCGTGTGTCGCGAACTTTCGTTGAACAATCTTTTAATGTTAGATAAAAAACTGCTGTCACCTGTCTTGACATCCGTCACATTGACATCGCTGTCGCTGAATCGAAATGACATCGTGGTCAGCTCGTGACCACGGCTAGTGCAACCTAATCGAAACGTCGAGATAGGCAAATACCTTTATTTGCTATAAAATTATTCGTGTTAAGACCCGGTTAATAATATAAATAATGGATTTTATTAAAGTAAACCAGAGGTAGAATCTTGAGCATTAACTATTTAAATTTAAAAAGAGTATATATATATAAAGGAATACTTACTTAGTATCCATTTACACTTTGTCTTTACGTGCGTTATTGAACCTCAATTACTCTCTCATTGACTTCCAACAGATGGCGCAAATTGTTAAAGACTAACAAAAATATGGTGGATTGTGAAACTGCGATAGTGAATGACAGTGTTAGAAAATAAAAGTGTTTTAGTGGAAAAAGATCAACGAATCATTACATAGTATAAAACAAAGTCGCTGTCGCTGTCTGTCCGTCCCTATGTATGCTTAAATGTTTAAAACTACGCAACGAATTTTGAAGCGGTTTTCTTTAATAGATAGAGTGATTCAAGAGGATGGTTTATATGTATAATACATGTATACCCGGGCGAAGCCGGGGTGGGTAGCTGGCAAATATTAAATGTAGTTTCTTTGTTTTACAGATAATGTTTGTTACATTACGATAACTCGTTTATAATTTGTAATTTGTTTGTATCAAAAATTGTAAAAGTTTAAATAATATTACTTTGTTTTACAGAGCAACGCATGCTTTACTTTGTCGAGAGACCTATTAATAGATAAATTGTCTTATATATACATAAAATAGAAATAGAAATAATCTTTATTCAAATAAACCCATTACAAACACTTTTGTATAGTCATATTTTGATTCTACCACTAATTCGGAACGCAGATTCATCACAAGAAGAATGAGCAAGAAACTTGTGTGTTGCTCTTTTGAATAGATGTTTTTTTTTATATAAATAATTACAGTATAACAAGTAAGAGGCATACGTTGTGCATGGTTTTATATGTATGTTTGTGTGTATGTCTGCGTATGTGAATGTATGTGTGTGCATGAAATGCAAATGCATGTTACACCTCAGGATCTCACCATTTCTGTCTCTCTCTCAGCCTGTTTGAACCGGCTGGTGGAGCCCGGCACCGCGTTCTGCTCCAGGCACAGCCCTTTAATCGCGTAGGACTCCGCCATTATACGTAGACTCCGCCTGCACACGTACAAATATATATGACAGCGCAAGTTCAGTACAATGGCTATTTTCATTGTTAATTTAATTATATTCGGCCTATATTGAACAAATCACTGTTATTTAATACTAGTTTATGCCCTCAGCTTCGCTCGCGTTAATTTATCCCCTTGGGGGTGGAATTTATCAAAATTCTTTCTTAGGGGATGCCTACGTCATAGTACCTTCATGCATGCGAAGTCTCAGCCCGATCAGTTTAAAATTGACAATGGGTGTAAAATTAATCAAAATCCTTTCTTATCGGATACCAACGTCATAACATCTACCTGCAAGCCAAATTTCAGCCCGATCCGTCCAGTGGTTTGGGCTGTGCGTTGATAGATCACTACGTCAGTCACCTTTGAGTTATATATATTTAGATTTAACATAATGAAGTATTAAAGTTAAGGATTATTACAAATATTGTAAATAGCGCCATCTAGTATTTATAGACCGGACTAAGTTGTTTGTCATAAGATATCCGTTACCCCCGCTTCTCTCCCTACTACAATAACTTCAGTCTATAAATGCGGAGGTCGGTAGTTGAATAATTCCCCTCCGATCGATCCCCCGTCCAATTCAAACGGGGACCGATGTCACGACGGCCTGAGCCGAGGTTCGAACTCCTAGCGGTGCCCTCAGACTAAAGTCGTATCCGTCAGGCAGGAGTTGGCCTTCAGCCGCTCCATAAGTCCTTCCTTGGTTTGGAGTGTCATCTGCACTCGCCCCCTATAGTCCGGTGAAGCTGTAAAGGCCAGCTGCGGCCAACAGCATTAGAGTACAAAAAAAAATTGAATCACTTTCTTTCTGTGTGTAACCATTGCACCGAATACATCTCTGCAATTTGATAAAAGTGTTTATTATTTATTATCGTAGCGATTATTATGCATATTACTATGAATACTTTCAATGACAGTTAATGAATTAACTATTAAATACAATGTTTATATATGTTAATCAATGTTATTATAATTATTATACACACAACCTTGAACCTTGTCCCATGGTACAACAGCAAAGAAATTAATAACTCCAGTGCTCATTGCTTCCGTTTATTACGTATTATAAATATATTGTGACAATTTTATTACAGATGATGTTTACATATAGATACATCATAATGATATAATAAACGCGAAAGTTTGTGAGTATGGATGTTTGTTACTCTTTCACGCAAAAACTACAGAACGGATTTTGATGACAATTTACTGTAATATAGCTTATAATAATAATAATATAATATAATACTCTCAGAACAATTCACACAGCGCCATCTAGATCTAAGTTATGCTAGCTAAAGCTTGTGTTATGACTAGATAACTTATACAAATACATAGATATTTTTTTACATAAATACATACATATTATACATAGAAAACGCCCAGACTGATACAAACAATCATACTCATGAATACAAATGTTTGTGCCGTGCGAGGAATCGAACCTGCCACCATCGGATAAAGCGGTCTGCTAGACCACCGAGGTCGCCGGTGCTTATGCGTCAGAATAATACATTTTTTTTATATACCATTTAGGTGGCAAACAATCATACGGCCCATCTGATGGTAAATGGTTACCGTAGCCTATGGACGCCGGGTGTTACGTGCGCGTTGCCGACCCTTAAGAAACCTTAATATACCTTCTTGAAAAACCCCATGCTGTAGTCTCTCGAGAAAACCTCGACAGGTAGTTCATTCCACAATCTATACATAATAAACTAGAAACATTTTACAAATGTTTGATGTAAGCTATGGAAGAATGGAGCCTCCTGGCACAGATACTCGTATATTTATGCTTAAAAGGAATCTTCAACATGTAGTTGTAAAATTGTGACACCTAAAGAATTTTAAATTATTAAAATTTTTAAACACATAGACTATGTTTTTTATAGAAATCTAACGCGTATGAATGACTTTATATATAAAAATTACGTGTCACGTTGTTTGTCCGCGATGGACTCCTAAACTACTGAACCGATTGCAAATTTGATTTGCACATTGTGTGCAATTTGATCCAACTTGAAAGATAGGATAGCTTACATCTCAATTTATAGTCGCAATATTATTCAAGAACCTTACCCATAGCAACTCATGGCCAGGTCTGGTAGGCTAGAGTAAGCACAAGGGTGAAATCGCGGGAACAGGTAGTTATCAATACAAACATACTCATAGCGGGGGGGAGGGGCACCATATCAGGTCGACCTCCACGCGGTTCCCCTTAGAAACCATCGTTATAAATTCCAGGTGAATTTATCACGATGGGCTAACTGACCTGACTTCATGCTCATCTTATCATCCTCCACTGGTGCCCCGCCAGTGTAAACTGTTGGCGCAGGCGGGTGCACCATTCCATTATCTATACATATACATAAAATTTGGGTGTCTGTTTGTAATATTGAAATAACCGTTTTTTACTACATGCATATGAATATAAATACGGTACATAGACCAAAATAACATTTTTTACAAAAATTCTAAAAAATGATATTTTAGTCTCTATGTCTATTATTGTCTATCTATATATTTGGTGTATGTCTGTCTGCCTGTCGGTCTGTTTGTTCCGGCTAATCTCTGAAATGGCTGGACCGATTTTGGCGGGACTTTTTTTGGCAGGTAGCTGATATAATAAGGCGTAACTTAGGCTACAGGTGCTACAAACATCTGGCATTAGCCCAAACAACCCAATAAAAAAAACTTAGGATACTTTTATTTTAGAAATAGATAAATAAAGTTAAATTCCACGAGGGCGAAGTCACGGGAACACCTAGTCACCCATAAAAATACTCATAGCTTATTTATTATACTCACACGGGTAATTCCTTCTCCTTCAGCGTATTCAGGTCCACCAGTTTATACTGCTTCAAAGCTTCGTCATAAGCTCCGCAGGCGTAGTGCAGCTTTCCAAGTAGAAGATGAGCATCCAACCATACTCCAGCCTGCTTGCCTGCCTCGTCTGTCGCCAACGTGAGGTATCCTCGAGCTTCTGACAGCTCCCGCTGCGCTCTCTCCACATTCTCCTTCGACGGAGGCCATTCCTCCAAATAAGCTTCGAGTTTCCCTTCACCGATGAGGAAGTGGGCAAGACTCTCTGTGGATAGATATATAATTATAATTAATGCAAAGAACAAACATATTAACAGGTTCCTAGGTCTTCCAGGTTCTTTTATTTTCGATGGTCGTGGGTTCGATTCCTCACATGGCGCAAACATTTGTATTCATGACTATGATTGTTTGTATCGGTTTGGGTGTTTTCTATATAGAAAATAGGTTTCTGAGATTATCATAAAAAAATATATATATACAATATAATATATTTTGTTTATATTATGTAGGTATCTATTTTTTTATAATAATAATCTCAGGACAATTCACACAGCGCCATCTAGATCCAAGTTAAGCTAACTAAAGCTTGTGTTATGGGTACTAGATAACTGATACAAATACATAGATATTTTTTTTCGTAAATACCTACTTATTATACATAGAAAATACCCAGACCGATACAAACAATCATACTCATGAATACAAATGTTTGTGCCGTGCGAGGAATCGAACCCGCGACCTCGAAAGTAAGGGGGCGTGTTAAACAGCTAGACCATTGAGGCCGTCAAATATTTTACTACTACAAAAATACTATACATTCATACCAGTTGTAGTACCTATAACACAAGCTCTGCTTAGCTTGGGACTAGATGGCGCTGTGTTAATTATCCATGATTATTTATTTATTTAAATTCAAATTAAAAAATCATTTATTCATGTAGGACATATTAGCCGCTTATGAACGTCAAATTTTTATATTCTAATTTTATTTTTTTCCCTACCGTTCAGTTCAGTATATAGATCCAATTGAGAAGAACTGGCAACTCAATTGAATATTTTTTTTAAAAGCCAGAATATTTATAATGTATATTTATATAGGTGTCTATGTCTAACATTAAATGAAAATCCAGTGCATGAACAACTATTGCCATGCACGCTCGTCATTCAAGTAATCGTTTAGTGAGTGATATGGTTTGCTCAGTACATATGATATGATTTAATAAGGTATTATCACTGTCTTTTAGATGCCTATTATAGTGATGACATAGTATCAGAAAATATAAACAACATTAATTTACACTCAATATATTTGTTTACCATACTATGATTCAACATACACACACAGTTATCGTAATTAGAGATGTGCTAACTCGTAATAAACATAACTCGATTTAACTCGAGTTGAAATTCAGGTAACTCTAGTTGACGCGAGTTACCTGGAATAAACAGTTTTTTTTTCGAACAATTCTAATGTTTTTGGCCGCAGCTAGCCTTGAAAGCTTCACCGAACCATAGAGGGCGAGTAGAAATGGTACTTCAAAGCCGCGGAAGGACTTATAGAACGCATAATCATTTTAATGATAACATAACAGGACGAATATGCGAAAAAATGATAACGACCTCAAATCAATATTGAAACATTTGTGACGAGTGAAAATTGTATGATATGAAATGATCGGAAAATTTCATGTCATTGTCAGTTCGATGACAGAATCATGCTCTCGCTCTTTCACTTGATTCATTCATTTACAAGTTGAATACTTCAAACTCGAGTTGGCAGATATCAACTCGAGTTAACTCGACTTCACCGCAACTCGAGTTAGTAACTCGAGTTGACACATCTCTAATCGTAATTATCACATCCGAATATGAGCATATATGTACATGACCGCCTGAAAATTGTATGTCTGTGTCTGTATTGTATGTATCACAATCCTTACTAAGATTATTAATGCGAAAGTAACTCTGTCTGTCTGTCGCGCTTTCATGCCAAAACTACTGAACCGATTTAAATGTAACTTGGTACACAAATAGTCTAAACCCTGAGAAAGGACATAGGCTACTATTAAATGCGAAAAAAGGGCTGTAAGGGGTTGACAGGGGAGATAAAAAGTTGAATGGAAGTATTGCCATTTTTAAAGTTAGTAGCTTGAAACTTATTTTTTAGGCTGTTGTTTAAATATAAATAAATATGACATTTAAAGTTTTTATAAATTGTACCCTCAAGGGGCAAAATAAAATAGGGGATGAAAGTTTGTATGGAATTTCATCATTTTTGAAGTTAGAATGATATCATCAATGTCTTATTTGTAAACTAATTTGTGTAAATAAATAAAATGCTATTCCACGCAGACGAAATCACGGCCACAACTAGTATATTATACATTAATGCATAAGAATCACATGTGAAGCTGTAACTAAAAAAATTTGGGGGGGCAAGTGTTTTTGTGTGTAAAATTTATTTTCTAAAATAAAAGTAACCTAAGTTACTCCTTATTACGTCAGCTACCTGCCAAAAAAGTACCGTCAAAATCGGAGCAGCTATTTCAGAGATTAGCCGGAACAACCAGACAGACAGACAGACTAAAATTGTAAAAAATGTTATTTTGGTATATGTACCGTATTTATATGCATTTAGTAAAAAACGGTTATTTCAATATTACAAACAGACACTCCAATTTTATTTATATGTATAGATTTAAACATATTATCAATATGGATACAATACATATAATAATTACAATGCATCATGACCTAATCTATGTGACTTCCCGTTTATTAATTTATTCATAACACTGATGGTCTTTTAAGTCAAGAGTGAATAGGTATTATTCATTTCATTTATATCGAGCAATCTGTACCGACTAAAGTCGGGACAACATGTAAACATGATACATTACAGAGTGGTACCCAAGAGGACACAAAAGAAGCAGAGGCAGACAGACCAAAAGATGGGAAGATGACATCAGGAAGGTAGCAGGGAAAGTTTGGACTCGGAGTGCAAGGGACCGAACCCTATGGAAATACTTGAAGGAGCCCTATGTCACATGACAGATTGTTGACAATCAGATGTGGAAAAAAAAAATTGTAGACCATCAGGACCGCAGTTACTGCTGTAAATTTGTAATGTAATGTTAACAGTAAATAAAGGCTTTTATTATTATATTATTATTATTTTAAGTTGCAGGTTAATATAAAGAATTTCTAAAATAAAAGTACCTTAAGTTACAAAAACTGCTCCTATAACATTAGCTATCTGCAAGTAACAATCCCGTCAAAATCAACACCGGTTTCAGAGATCAGCAAGAACACACAGACAAAACCATTTTTCTGTTCTGGTTGGCCTATTTGTTTTAACACTTTCGCATCAATATATTAGAAATATATTTATTCAGATGTAATATATGTAAAGCTGCAAGTAATTATAATACTAATTTAGTCAGCATAGCATAGCATGTAAAATAGAAATAGAAATAATGTTTATTAAAATAAATTCATTACAAGCACTTTTGAATAGTCATATTTTGATTCTACCACTCATTCGGAATGCAGATTCATCACAAGAAGAATGAGCAAGAAACTTGTGTACTCTTTTGAATAGATGTTCTTTTCTATAATAATTACAGTATAACAAGTAAGAGTGTGTGTTGCTCTTTTAAATAATCCTTGTAATTTTACAAATCGAAACATATGAATACAAACTACTACTAATCTCTGAAATGCTGGACCGATTTTGACAGGATTTTTTTGGCAAGTAGCTGATGAGTAACTTAGCCTACTTTTATTTTAGAAAAAATCTCTAATAAACTTTTTTGTTAAATTCCATGCAGATGAAGTCGCATGTACAGCTAGTATAATCTATAATTTATGTGTTTGTCTTTAGGAATAGGTTTATGAAATAACTATTTATAGTTTACTTACACAAAATGAGTTTAATAGTATGACAATAATAACTTTACAAGCATTGTAAATTAAGTCTGAGTCATGTAAGGAAATAGGTGAATGCAGTTTTCCATATTGAAATATTGACAATTTATAAAGGAAGGATTTACTGGTGATGGTGGTGGGAAAAGTTGAAATCAAGCGAAGAAATGGGTACTACTGAAAAACTTGGAGGCCTATGTTACATCACAACAAACTGTTAACATTCAGATAGAAAAAAAAAATTAATATAAACTAACAGGAATACAGTTACTGCAATCTAAATATATATAACTCAAAGATGACTGACTGACATAGTGATCTTTCAATGCACAGCCCAAACCACTGGACGGATCGGGCTGAAATTTGGCATGCAAGTAGATGTTATGACGTAGGCATCCGCTAAGAAAGGATTTTGATTAATTCTACCCCCAAGGAGATAAAATGGGGGATGAAAGTTTGTATGTAACTTTGTCAATTTTAAACCGATTAGGCTGAGACATTAGAATAAGAAAGAATTTTGATAAATTCCACCCCTAAGGGGATAAATTTATGTGAGTGAAGCTGCGAACAAAAGCTAGTTAATATATAAACTTAAAGTTAACAGTTTATTACTGTTAACTTTAAGTTTACAATTTTGTTTATTATTATTATACTGGTGCCTATCCATCTAGAGGAAGAAAGAAAGAAATTACAGTGGGTTGCCAAATTAATAGGGACAGTCACGAAATATTCGTTTTTTGTAAAACATTGGTCTATAATTAATTAAAAACGTCACTTTAGGCTATAATTATATTTAATAATATCAGACACATATCTTATAATGAATTTAGACTATAATAATTTAATATTTGAACAACTAGAAAATATAAACAAGTATAATAAAAATGATGATGGGAAATTATTAGTATTTTGTCACATTTCCTTTTGCTTCTATCAGTGCTTGAATCCGCCTTGGCCTACTTTCAATACACTGTTTAGCACTTTCTTTTATTTTGGGATTGTGAAACCATACATTTATTAATTTTTCAACTAGTTTTACTTTGGTAGTTATGATTTCCTTAGCAATTTCCGCCTTGGTAATTTCCCACAAGTTTTCTATGGGATTCATATCAGGAGAATTGCCAGGCCAAGGTAAAACTGGAATGTTGTGGTCTTCCAAAAATTTGGTTACACTCCTCGCTTTATGACATGGAGCTGAATCGTGCATAAACACGAATTCCTCCCCATTCGGGAACCATTCCTGAAGTTGCGGCAACAGGCGAGTTTCTAATACTTGCTTGTATTGGTCCTGTCTCATGGTTCCCTGGACGATATAGAGGCGCCCAACTCCTTTTGCGCTGATGACAGACCATACCATTATTTTTACAGGGTGTTTAATTCGTTCCACTATGCAATCAGGATGAAATTTCTCGCCTGGGCGCCGCCTCACGAAGTTACTTTTGTTGGCCAGAATTTCAAAAGTTGACTCGTCTGAGAAACATACCTAAAAAATATAGAAACTATTTATAATTTTTGTAAATATGATTTTATATAACACAAATAAAATTAAACATAGAACTGACCTTATTCCAGTCTTCAACAGTTTTCAGGCGGTGCTCACGAGCCCAAGCAAGCCTTTTCTTTTTCATCGCCTCTGTTAATCGGGGTTTCTTAACTGGACGATGACCTGTCAGGTCTTCCTCTGCCAACCTTCGCTGTACAGTTCTTTTTGAAACACGTATTCCAGATTCCTGTACTATCTGAGTTAAAAATCCAGCACTTTTCTTTCTGTTTTGCAAGCAGATATCTCGAATTTTCCTATCGGAACGTGTTGTTGTGATACGTTTTCTGCCACATTTGCCTTTTCTTTTGGGCGAAAGTGGCTGATTTTGATCTAAATTTATTTTTATTTTATTGACGGCAGATTTCGATATCCCGGCCAGTTGTGCTATCATCCTCTGAGAGTGATTTGTGTGTAGGAGAAGGGTTTTTAACCTCGGATTTTTTTCTCGGAGTCAAATCTACCCCTCGACCCATAGCCAAAGCTGAAAATATAAAAATAAATTAAAATTGTTCTAAAATCCGCTCCAAAATACTTTAATTTTAATTATAGTAAAATATTACTTACTTGCAGGTATTGATTATTTCACAAAACCACTAAAGAACTGTTTAAAAGAATAATTTACGTGTTTCACTTTTACACGTGTGAACGACTGTGTGTCTCTCCCGTCATTAAAATATATTTCCAAAATAAACAAATCTCTCAGCACTTGAAATTCACTTTGAATTTGAGTTATAGAGACAAGGTGAACATAAAAACATATCAGCAAAAAACTTTTACCACTTAAAAACGTAGTCAAGACCACTTGAAGAACAAAAATGATAAAAAATGGGACTGTCCCTATTAATTTGGCAACCCACTGTATGTTTATATGTATATATATTATATTATTATATATGTGTATCAACACAAAATATACAAGAAAAATAATTTTTATTTGCAATTTTAATCATTATGGAATCAAATATGTCTACTTTCAGCATATGCCATGATGGAGTGTCACAATGCTGGTATTCTGGCTACCCAATATTAATTAATTATTTCCTTAGGTATTTATAAACTATGTAAGTTCCAAACTTTTACTGGTCAATGAAATACCATCCACCAACATTATAATTAAAAAGACTAGATCATATTTTATATACGTTTAGAATAATGTTCTCTTTAACTATTTTTCTAAAGTCTGTAATATAATTGTATGAAAAAACATTTCTTTTCTATGATACTATAGTTATATCCTAATAAAAGATACTAAATAACGACTTATTTCAAAATACACTCAGTTATAATGTAACAAATTTAATTATCTAATATACACATTACATAGAGTAATTTTGAAGTTTAATTCAGACTATCATAATGACATAGATTACTTAAGTTTTAACTAAAAAATACTTTATTTACAGACAGATAACGCTACGGGCCTGGAGGTGGACGTGACTCACCATGCTGTGGAGACCTGGCCTTCAACAGCTGAGCCAAATCAATCACCTTCTTCCAGTTAGAATCCTCGCGATTTTTGTCGATCTCCGACTCGTAAATGCGTACAGCATTCTTACTCCTCGATGTCATTTTAACACGAGGATATGAATGTTTGTACGTCACACCATTGAATAGAAATTGTTAATCACTTGTACATTGCAAAATTTGGTTGAAATTGCAAGAATTCCTAGCAATCAGTCCGAGACTCAGGTAAGCAAGTAATTATATTGAAGGTCAGACTTGACATGACTGACGTTTGCTATGACATCTCTCGCGCGTTCCTTTTCAACGCTAAATAAGATTGCTATCCATATGTATTTGGAACGGAACGTAAGAAAAAAATTTTTTTTATTATTTAAACTTAAATATAAATTTTTAATTAATAAAAGAAATGAATTTCTTTTTATTAATCGTACTATCAAAATAAAATAGACCTCAATTTATATATTAAATTGTAAAATGTAAATGAGTCCATAGATAAACCTTCATGTTATTTATTACAATCAAGAACCAATGCACACTGCATTCGTTTTTGATTGTTTATATTTTTTCTTATCATAAGCAGACTAAAGTAATAAACTTACTGCGACAGTCAATAGATGGCGCTGAGCGTCTGTAAAATAATGGAACTTGCGAATATGTTCTATAAGATGTAGGTAAATAAAATTATGTTTATGATTTACAAAGAATATGATTGTCACCGAAATTTACGTCTGAATAAAATACTCGGGCTGTATACTGGTATACTAGCGACATGTAGACATATACTTTAGACATGCTCATAGTCTCACCTGCGTTAAATTTATAGACTACCTATATGTTATTATTATGTATAAGTATGTAATATTATCTGTGGGCTAATTATGTAACACGATATGAAATTGTTTCTGTTGAAGTTGTGATGCAATATGAAATCATTTCAATTTAAAAAATGCGATCAAGTAAGGTCGAATGACCGCAACATAAATCATTTCTATCGATAAAACACTACTATGAAGTTGCAGCGGAATATTGTTAATCCGACCAATTTAAAAAGTCAGTACATTAGATAGCTTATACCTTTAGAGGGATACATTTTAATTTATTGGGTTGTTACACTAGTTGGTTGATTTGAAACAATTTTTATTGCGTTCAAAAATTACAAAATATACTGCAGCGTTCACTTGTTCTTTTATTTTAATTTTATTAATAGACATTTAATAAAATAAAATAAAGAAAGTCTATTCTATTCTAATGAAAAAATAAGGTTAATAATTTTGAATATAAAAGCATATTTTATACAAACTATTTATAATCATTAATAATAATAATCTAACCTACAAATTAAATTTTCTTTTCTGCTATAGATACCTAGGTAAGTACGTAGGTATCCATATAAATTTAAAATGATATGGGCACATCTTTTTAAATTTGTACATAATTGTAAAAACTTTAAACAAATAAATTTATTTACTTTAAACAAATCACAGAGCATCATAAACGTTGTATTCCGTTCACAGAGCACCGTATTCATTGAAATAGTTTTTTAATTATATTAATATCATAATCAACCCTAATTTTATATTAAACATTTACTCTAGTTAATACAACATTCTATGTGATTTGGGACGAAAATAAAATATCGAATTGGCAACACTGATGTCGTGTTGTGAGTCGTGACAATTTTCCCATTTTAATAAATTTAAAACCTTTTCACGACTTTCTACGTAATATTTAATATAATAAAAATATATGTAATACTGAAAATTACCAAAACAAGATAAATAATGCTGCTAATGCTGATATTTTAAAGATTGTAACCAAAAGAAACACCTTCTAAATTGTTACTCATAATGTAAAAACCGTTTCAATTCCACGCTGTCATTTCGGCAAAATAGCGATTACGTGACGTTGCAACGAGGTTACTAAATCGACATTCGATAGAAATAATTTTTATCGATATGTAAAGTTGCGTTTACGTTGCAATGCTAGTTGACAGCGTCAAATGGCGTCTATATGATCGCATTATTGACAGATGACGTCATTTTCACTACGTTACATACGAAAATCGTTGCGAACGAAGTTACATAATTAGCCCACTGATCTGTAGCATAAGCTATATTATTGTAAAGTTTCATGAAAATCCGTTCAGTAGTTTTTGCGTGAAAGAGTAACATACAACCATCCATCTATTCATCCATATGTATTAACAAACTTTCGCGTTTTCAATGTTAATAAGATACTTATTTAAATTCCAATTAAAATATTAATATTATGAGTACCTTGTGTAATGCAGTGGGTTAGGAATTAAGGGGAATCGTTAATTTATTAATTGCGATTGCAGGAAAAACGACCTATTTTCCATACCTATATAATAGAGAAATATAGCTACTTTTAGATGTACATCAGTTAATTAAAAAAATAACTTTCTACCTATAGAATTGAGGAATATAAGTATACACACACAGACACTTTTACATGTACTATAAGTTAATTAAAAAAATAACCCTTCAGACAAAGTAAGGCGTAAAGGCAAATGGCTACTTTTAGATGAAAGTTAATTAAAAAAAAAATAGCGATAAAATACGAAATATATTCGTCTATCTTCGTCAGAAATATATACTAATATATTTCAGACGAATAAACTGTAATGGCAAGTGTTACAATATCATTGCAATATGATCAGAGGCGGATCTACCTAAGGGCTTTTTGGGCTGCAGCCCAAGGCCCCGAGGATACAAAAGGCCCTCAGTCCGCACTGAAACGATATTTAGAATATAAAAAAAATATCTATTATAGAATGTTAAAAAACCTATCATAAGGTTGGCAACCCTGAGATCAATAAACACATGCAAGTGCACGTCTATCGAAAGGAACGAGGAATTTCTGGTCGCTTGTTTTTGGTGTATCTTTTAGTTGAGTAATATCATTAGGCTGCTAAGTAGATTTAGCCCAGGGCCCCACAAATTCACGTTCCGCCCCTGAATATGATTATGTATTAGGTGTTTCCGGAATGCGCAGGCAGGCATGGTGACGACATCGCTATATCGTTCCGACGCGATGCGATAAACATGTTAGGAATTAAATTGAATGAAAACAAACACATTATCGGTATATTTGGTTTCCTAACGATAGACAAAAATAATAATAATAATAAACAGTGTAAAAAAAACAAGCAAAAGCTGAGAGAATATAAAAAAAATATCTCAGGACAATTCACACAACGCCATCTAGTCCCAAGCTTGTGTTATGGGTACTAAACGACTTGTATAAATACATGGATACATTTTTTTTGTAAATAAATACATATTCTGCAGTCAGAATGTTATATAGGTTAGTAATCATAACATATTTTTAAACATTTCATTACATAGTATAAAACAAAGTCGTTGTCGCTGTCCGTCCGTCTCTGTGTATGCTTAAATTTTTAAAACTACGCAACGGATTTTGAACCCTTTTTTTTTCAATAGATAGAGTGATTCAATATGAAGGTTTATATGTATAATATAATAATCTCAGGACAATTCATACAGCGCCATCTAGACTCACGTTAAGCTAGCTAAACCTTGTGTTTTGGGTACTAGATAACTGATGCATATACATAGTTTTTTTTTTGTAAATACATATTATACACAGAAAACACCCAGAGTGATACAAACAATCATACTCATGAATACAAATGTGTGTGCCGTGCGAGGAATCGAGCCCGCAACTATCGGTCGTAAAGCGGTGTGCTAGACCTCTAGACCACCGAGGTCGTAACATATATAATACATGTACACCGGGGCGAGCATCTAGTTTCTTTATAATATAATGTAATGTATATAATAGATTTAATATTTATATGTTTACGCATGCACCACTAGTGCCCCACCAGGGTATCCATTCATCCACCACCACAAGTTTATTTGCGGACAACGTTATAATTTTAATTTTCATACTGCTTTCTTGATATATGATAGCGTAGCGGCTTTTGTATTGATTGCCGCATGCATCCTTATGTAAAGTGCGAATACTGTAACTACCATATAGTAATTTTTGTAGCTGTGACGTGGTCGTGTGGAATGAGTAGTCATGCTCACTAAAATGTCCAGACATGTGGCGGCGTGGTGGGCCGGGTCAATGGGCTCCCTAAAATATGGTCGAGCGCAGTGATGGCTGGCTCATCCGTCATACTCGTGAACGAGTGCTGCTTGTAGGGACTGGTCTGCTCTTATCACTACGACTGATTTAATCTTATTGCATGATTATATTTGACCCAAAAAATTTGTGCTTGTTGGTAGTTTGTATTCACACGTTTCGACTTGTAAATGTAAACTTACAAGGATTATTTAAAGGAGCAACACACAAGTTTCTTGCTCGTTCTTCTTGTGATGAGACAGCTTTCCGAACGAGTGGTAGATAAAAAACAAATTGTTATGACTATTCAAAAGTGCTTAAATTAAGTTTATTTGAATAAATGATTTTCTATTCTATTCTATTCTATTCTATTCCACCATTTTATTATCATATAAAACAACCGCTCAGTAGGGCGGAGACGGGATTGACAGTAATGTGGACTGACGATCTTACTGCTAATAATGTACCATGTCAGATTGACCTCCACACGATTCCCCCTGGAAACCATAGTGATAAATTCTTGGTGAATTTGTCACGTTGAAGGTGTTAACCTGACCTCATGCTCATCTTATCATCCTCCACTAGTGCCCTGCCAGGGAAAACCATTACCGCGGGTGCACCATTCCATTATCATCCATTAAAAGAACACCACATAATAATTATTAATATAAGCTCATCATCATCATCATCTCAGCTCAGAAGACGTCCACTGCTAAACAAAGGCCTTCCACAAAGATCTCCACGACACCGCGCTGCTCGCATCCAATGCCTTCCAGCGATCGTGACCAGATCGTCGGTCCACCTTGCTGGAGGCCTTCCCACGGTGCGTGTTCCGGTCCGCGGTCGCCACTCGAGGACTTTCCTGCCCAACGGCCATCTGTCTTACAATCTATGTGCCTATATATATATTATATAGGCTAGTATATAACAAATATAGAAATTACCATCCGCAGGTGACTTCGACTGACTCACTAAACGAGATAAACGCTTCACACTCTCCATTTTGTAACACTTCTCACTTTAAATATAAAGAATATACATATTTAATTAGTGATATACATACGTCTATAATTAAAATAACAACTCGCACAATTAGGTTTGACAAG